TAAAAGATCTAAGTAGAGTTTTTGGTATACTGGAACATGAAGAGCTGGTGACCGCAGATGAGGAGCACCCTTGGTTTCTATGACATGCTCAATCCAGTGTATGAGGGTTTTACCAGGCTTTGTCTCCCGATGGTGATAGATGAAGGACAGTTCCTTAACCTTTTCACGATATCTGTAATTTGAATAAACAAAAAACGTTAGCAGGAATAGGTTAGAAAAATTGTAGAAGTTGGTTTATTTTTATACTCACTTAGGGTTTGACAAAATTTCTCGGATAGCTATTTCCAGTTTTGCTGGTGTATCGTATCCCAATGGGACTTCCAAAGCAAAACCTTTACGAACTGCTCTTTTTACGTTTAGGAACTGGTCAGCAAATAACGGTATGCCAATGATAGGGACTCCATAGTGTATAGTTTCTGTTGTCGAAAGGAGACCACCGTGGGTGACGAAAACTTTGGCGTTTGGATGCGCTGCAAGGAAAAGTATATTTTAATTTACAATTCAGCAGATTATAAAATAGACAGGAAATATTGTTCTTTTTGATCAAAAACTTACCTAAAATACTTGGCTGTGGTGCCCATTTTACCATGTGGACATTTTTAGGCACATTTTCTAAATCTCCATCAAACTTCCAAATGACTGTCTGTTTCAATTTTGAGAAGACGTCTAATAATTGTCTTTTGAGTTCCATTGGCAAAGTTTCACTCCTCATCATGGACCCCATACTAAAGTAGATAACTCCATCAGTGGCACTGTCCATAATCTTTTGTAAATCCTAGAATAGAATAAGTAATAAAAAAATGTTTGCCAGTTATATTAGGAAATGTGTATTAAGAAATGAATAAAAAAAAGATGAAGATCCATAAATAAAAAAAAAATTAATGTACCTTCGGCAATGGTGGGATCTCATCCTCTATATGATATCCTCCAATGGCAGCATAATTTGCTGGCAACCTCTGAGGATCACCCAATGAATAATGGGAGTTAGCCAACATCATAGAACCATTGTATTTTAGATCATACAAAGTTGATAAAGTAATTCCTCGTTTTGCTGCAGCTGCACCAAAGGAATCTCTGAATGCTTGTTCTTCTATATCTCTTACAAACCTGAAAACATTATAATTTGTTAATTTTGTTGCTATGGTAACATTGCTTAGGTTTTTATATTTGGAGTATACGAGGAAACCGCATACAAATTATGTTCATATAAGGTACTTAACTACTGAAAACTTATATCAAGACATTAATAATGTTAATTTGATGAATAGGTGACTAAGCAGTTTCAGCTAGATTAACACGGTTTGACTACATGCTTGGGTAACCTGCTGCCGGGTAAGGTGTCGCGGGTTCGATTCGATTTTTTTTATTTCATGTGTCATTAATAAATTTCTTGTTATGAAATATTTTACTAAAGAAGTAAACACTGCATCATCGTGTTATCCTTTCATTCAATTTCTCGTTATCTACCTCTACATAAAGTAGATTTCCAACTCCTATTATTCGATTTGATCTTATCTTTTTTAATCCATTGTTCTCTAATTAAAAATTTGTACTCACCACAACACTCGGTATAGATAGATTAAGTTCCAAAGTTCACTGATACGCTCCGTAAAACTAAGTGGTGGAGAGACCGGTGACATGTGATCAGGGAAGTAAGCCGGGTTGCCGACCTCATCAATCAAATCCAGGACAACTGGGTGAGGTTCCATTGAGGACGACCATATGTATGGGCAGTTAAAGATAGTTGCGAATCTAGAATGTTATAAAATACTTGTAATAAGACCCCTCCTATTTAGAAATCAAATTACAAAAGTAAATTGTTTTTTTGCAAAGGTTT